TGCAGGGAGTCTCCAATACTTGAAAAAGGAACAAGCAGTGCCAGTTTTTTAAAGAAGAGCTAGGTACGCACAGAGGGGAAGTACATTACTTATATATTATATATACTAAATACTGAGGGAATAAAGCTGATTGAGTGCAAAAAGCTTCCAGTGCTCTTTAATTTTTAAACTACTGCATATAGAGGGGATATAATATAGAAATCATCATTCTTATTATCATATTAGAGTACCCATCTGACTGCTGCCATAGATACAGGAAAGAGAGTTGTGTGCTTGGGGCACACTAAAAAGGAAAAACCATGTGTGTACTGGGAGTGGTATCCCAATGGACTGAGGCGAAAATCCCAATGTGAATATGAAAGTGGCACTTAGCTTTAACCACTTGAAGTCCGGGGTGTTAAACCCCCTTCCTGTCCATGCCATTTTTCAGTATTAAGCGCTGCAGTATTTTGACTGACATTTATTCTGTCATGCAACGCTGTACTGAAATACATTTTCTATCACTTTTTAAGGACACAGAGAGCTTTCTTTTAGAGGTATTTAATCACCACTCAGGGTTTTATTTTTTAATATATTAAGGAAAATTACCGAAAATTTAAAAAAAAAACAGTTTCCCCTAAATTAAATGATAAAACATTTATTATTCCCCAATTTTTTGCTAAAATATAAGAGATGGGGTCATGTCGGGTAAATAGACACCAAACATGTCAAGCCTTAAAATTGCGCGCGCGAAACCTAAAAAAACTACAAAATCGAAAATTGGCCATAGGCAATGCTTTAAAAGCTTTTACCGCTCATCAGTTTAGTGTTATCAGTCATTGGAGAGGAGAGAGCTGAGAAGAGTGATCGCCGCTCTCGATCACTGAAGCGGGAACATCACGGCGGAACTACTGCGGGTTGTACCAGAGCCCCTGGGCTGGGAGGGGGGGGGGCATTGGGGACTGGTCCTGGGCACCCCCGCCCATGGTGGAATATTGTTCAGTTCAGGGAACTGGGGCCGACGGGCTTCTCAGCAAGGGGGCAGGTCCTGTGACTCACCACTACTCTCCCGGCCGCGTCCCTAGTAACAGGCAACGGGAGAGGAGAGTGTGTCTGTGTTACATGCCCCACCCCCTGCACACCATGTGGCCGGGATGTTGCCAGGCTCCCGTGTTCTATCGAAACTTCCAACGTCGACCTCTCCAACTCGTACAGGGTGAGTCGATATAGAACGCCACTGCCAGGAAGCTAGTACACACCAAGTTTCTACCAGCACAGGCTTTCTTTTTTAAGCCATGATATGCATACAATCTAGAGTTTAAGTGGAAAACAAAATCTGATTTGGATACTATCGTCCACCTGACCAGTTGTCAGTGCCATCTACAGTTGTTTGACATGAACTAAAGCCTAACTCCTAATCGTATTTTGGGGTTTGTCAAATAGATGTGTAGATACTGTGTCCTAACTTTATCAGTATTTGGACACACCATGATTTACAGCAAATAAAAATGATTTCATACACAGTATTTGACATACTAGTAGAAAACCTGTCTTAATTGTATAAACATTTATAATAATACAAGGTTTGTTTGCTTTTCCTATTAACTTTTCCAATCTCTGTAATCTTTTTGGCACAGAGAAACGATGATAAGAGGAAGGTCTTGCTGAGTAGGAAAGAGAAGTTGTCTTGAACAATGTTTGAGTTTATAAAAAGGCATTTGCACTGCTACTTCACTGATACAGAGCTGACCTGAGATCTGTCATTATGAAGTTGCTGCTTCTTTTATTCATTTGCCTCTCCGTATCTGAGGGGCAAGTTAGGTGAGTATACTAAAAAATCAATCAAAGTAATTCTAGATACTAAATATTCAGTCGTACTTTCTAATCAGCTGGGTGCCTTGTTGAGTTACCCAGCTGGTTTTATTTTTTTTATACCTACCCTTATACAGCTTGCAAGTCCTAAACTTGCAAAGTATTTTTCTCCTGTATGTTCAAATATAGGTGCAAATATGCGTGTTTATATTTTTTACATTTACCCATGAACACAATGTTTGATGTACGTACACATGTTTCATAATATAGGACAAGAAGTGGGGAACCTGGGGAGAAAGAATAGGAATTGTATAAAAGTGCTATGAATAAAATATTACTATTGGCAGAATGCAAGAACAAATAATGCTGCACATTCAGCTTAATTCAAGCCTAGCCATATGCCTCAATGGTCATACAATTATGGAAAAAACACCTTAGACATAACATGACTGGAAATAAAAAACATCAATCAAGCTGACCACTTTTTAGGACCTGCTGTGAACTAGTAATTCAGGTGAACTAGACCTGTTAGATGTATGAATCAGTTGCCTACAATGGGACTGATAATACTAATACAATAATTCTAATATTCTTGGACAAAATTGTTAGCTGTCATTAGAAAGAACTCATTTTCCATGATGAACATATCTGCCCTTATATACAATTTCACAATACCATGTTCACTAAATCACATTCCATTCTGCCCCAGAAAAGGGCACTATTTATCCACAACGAGCTAAAATGTTTATACTTTAACCCTGTGGCTGTCCATGTCAAGAAAATTAAGTTACCTGCAATGTCTGCACTGGCAAGAGAATAGGATTTTTGTTTTTAGATTTAGGAAAATTTTATTGAGCTACCACAAATTGGTATCAAGGCTTGTTTTCATACACACACTGGTTGCTTTTAAAACACTGCCAAGGTTAGTTACACTCTCATAACTGGAACATATTTATTGTGATTCCTTCTTTTGAACCTATCCCCACTAAAATACTTTAGTGCTCTCCTTGTGACAACAACAAAACAAGGTAATAAGTACCCACACTCTCTAGATAAGCTATATTTATTTTATATTATGTGACATATATACTTTAAAAGGGTAAATATGTTTTGTTTACCTATGTTAAACATTTTGCAATTATACTTTCACATAACAGTCGCCTAGTTGCTGATATTATTATTATTCAGGATTAAAATAGCACCAATAGTTTGCGTAGCTCTTTACAGTATAAGGAAGACATTATAGTTACAATACAAACCAAAACAAGATGGTAAGGAGGGCCCTGCTCTTGAGAGCTTACAATCTAAAATGGAGGGGCAAATGATACAAGAGGTATCATGGTAGTTGTGTGGCTATGAATTGTTTGGGAAAATGATAGTGCAGTGGTTAGGTTGAAGTGCGGTAGGCTTCCCTGAAGAGTTGAATCTTTAGGGTTTGCACAAAGCCAGACAGAGTAGGAGATAGCTGGACAGGTTGGGGTAAGGAGTTTCAAAGGATGGGAGAGACTCTAGAGAAGTCCTTGAGGCAAGCATGGGAAGAGTTGACAACGGAGCTAGAGAGCAGGAGGTCTTGGGAGGAGTAGAAGGGACGATTAGGGTAATACTTTGAGACGAGGTTGAAGATATAGCTGGGGGTAGAGTTGTGGATAGGTTTGTAAGTGGTTGTCAATATTTTGAATTTTATCCTTTGGGTGATTTGAAGGCAGTGGGGGGATTGGCAGAGGGGGGTTGCAGACAATGACTGGTTGGTTAGGTGGATGAGTCTAGCAGCAGCATTCATGATAGACTGAAGGGGGGATAGCTTGTGTAGAAGTAGGCCAATGAGGAGGGAGTTACAATAGTCAAGACGAGATATAACAAGTGAGTGAATGTGTAGTTTTGCGGTTTCATTGCTGAGGAAGGGGCATATTTTGGAGATCTTACGAAGATGAAGGTGGCAGGATTTGGATAGTGATTAGATGTGGGGCAGGAAGGTGAGGTCGGAGTCAAGGATCACACCTAGCACCTTGGCATGGGGGGAGGAAGGGATAGTTGTGTTAACAATCTCAATGAGAAAGTTGGGGGAAGGTGCATTTGAAGGGGGGGAGGGAATATTGTGAGCTCAGTTTTTGAAATATTGAGTTTTAAGAAGTGTTGTGCCATCCAGACTGATATGTGAGTAAATAAATTAGTGATGGGCAAGGAAACTGAAAGGGTGAGTTGTGGGGTGGAGTGTCATCGGCATAGAGATGGCATTGGACACCATGCAAGGCTATCAACTGACCAAGGGAGGAGGTGTAGAAGGTACAGAAGGGGTCCAAAGACAGAGCCGTTAGGGACCCCTACAGAAAGAGGAAGAGAAGTTAGATGTGTAGGTGACACTAAAGGAGCCCTTAGATAGGTAGGAGGAGAAATATGAGAGAGCATGATATGTGTTGCCTTGACTATATTCAATACTTCAAATTCAATAAACATATTATAACATTTTGACAATAAGTATATGTTTCTCTCTTGAAGAGTTCCCCTGAAAAGAATGAAATCCATTCGAGAGAACATGAAGGAGAAAGGAGTTCTGGAAGAGTTTATGAAAACCCACATTAAAGAACCAGCCATTAAATACAACTTAAACAGTCAGAGCAACTTTGGGGTCGCTTATGAGCCCATGTATTTGGATGTAAGTGTATGCTGTTTATATAATTTAATTACGAAAATTATGTATTAAAAATATAAACTATATATAATTACTCATCTTTTCCAGACCTATTATTTTGGTGAGATCAGCATAGGAACCCCAGCCCAGAACTTCCTTGTTGCTTTTGACACTGGTTCTGCCAATCTTTGGGTCGCTTCTACATATTGTCAAAGTCCAGCCTGTAGTAGGTAGTATTTTTACAGCATCTGGAAATGAGATTGTATGATTGAGATTAAAGTTTAAATATAATATACTAAGTGATAGCCAAAATGCACACTGTGTATCACAATACTGTGTTATCTAAAATAGTCAAGGCAAACTACAATTACTTGAGTAAAATAAAAAATAATTGACCAATTCCTGTGGTTTTCTCACAGCAGCTAAAAACTACAATGATTTAAAATGATTAAATTTACAATTCTTTAATTAGAGTTCTCAAATAGATACAAATGGGTAAAGGACTTAAGAGTTGCAGGTTGTTGTTTAAGTGACAGCAGGATTAAATGCAATGGTTATGGTTGAGCAGGTTGCTTAGGGTTGAGCAGGGGGAGCAAAACCATTTGCTAATAATCCTACCTATTCTCACAATAAAAACAGAAACTGCTGTTGCTGCCATAGGCAAAGTTTAATGCGAAACCTGTGATCTATAAAAAAAATTATGAATGCAATGATCTTATAAATATTATAAATATAACTCATTCGACTCTGCATCTTTTTATAACTTACACTTTCTCCATTAACTTTTAGCCAATCATCCATTGTTCAATCCTTCTCAGTCTTCCACATATAGTTCCAATAATCAACAATTTTCAATGTGGTATGGTAGTGGCAGCATGACTGGAGTGCTGGGTTATGACACAGTCACAGTAAGTAGCTTTTCTTTTATGTCTTTGTATATATTAATTAAATATGTGATGATTAGCTGCAATCTCATCCCCTCAGAAACAAAAAAAAAATCAGGTAGACCAAGATAAAATGGCCTACAATAGAACTTGTACCAACATTTTAGCAAAGGAAGACTTTCAGGGTTATTCACAAAAGGGTGAAGAGTTTGGAGAAAGCAGGAGAAGTGAACAATCAAGGACAACATAGCTGAACTGGAAAGTGAGCTGAATTGGAATTTTTTTTTCCTAGATTGTTCACTTCTCCTGCCTTATCCAAACTCTTCACCCTTTTGTGAATAACCGTGTTTGTTTCTCCTACAAGCAAAACAGATGACAAACGCACTCATCAATTCGTCACCAGCTTTACAGTAAGGTGCACACGGAATGGGCTTTAAACAGTAAAATAGCAAAAGGTTTTCCTGGCACACTCACAAGCTAGCATGTAAAAAAACTTGTCTCACACTAAGGTTAAAAACAGAGGTTTGGATACACGTCTTCTGCAGAAAATGTGAAAGCCGCACAGCCGCGCCAAGGCACCTCTTATAGTGCGGTCCTAACTCTAAACTATCAGAGCCTCCATCTTGGAGCACATGGGGCAGAAGATAAAATTGGGTGCAGGTTTGTCAGGAGGAAGCCCAACCCCCTTTGGTGCATCACTGCACCAAAACAGATGACAAACGCACTCATCAATTCGTCACCAGCTTTACAGTAAGGTGCACACGGAATGGGCTTTAAACAGTAAAATAGCAAAAGGTTTTCCTGGCACACTCACAAGCTAGCAAGGTTAAAAACCTCTGTTTTTAATCTTAGTGTGAGACAAGTTTTTTTACATGCTAGCTTGTGAGTGTGCCAGGAAAACCTTTTGCTATTTTACTGTTTCTCCTACAAGGTCTCATGCTACAGTTAACAATAGTGAAATGTAGTGTAAACACCTTCAATCCCCATTTGGATATGTTTGGATATATTTGGTTTATTTAGCAGTGTTCGCTATAATCCATCATATATCTTACAAACATGTGAAAGGGAGAATCATCATGCTTTTATTAAGCTTCTCTGCACATTAGTGGGCGTTCAGAGTGTAGAAGTGTATGTCTGGGCAAATGAAAAAAAAATGATGCAGTACATCTCTGCAATACATGCACATTTCTGGATGTTTTGCCTCCTTAAGAGTGCTGCAAATACAGAAAAATACCTGTTGATCTGGCAGAAACCCAATGTACTCCTAACTTCCCGTTTGAACTCAAAGTCAGAACTGGAACTCAGAGGAGCTTCACCTTATTCAATAAACTAAGGGGTAACTTCCCCTGCAAAATGCCAATTCCCTTGCAAAGTAAACAGCCTATTTGCCTTTAGTAAATCAACCCCATGCTCAAAAAGAAAGTTGGGAGCTCACTGTATTTCTGGCAGATCAACAGGCATTTTTTTCTTCTTGATATGTTTGTTTAGGAGAAAACAGATGGTGAAATGTGCATGTATAAGAAGAGATGTGCTGCATATGTGTTGTTTTTATTTGGTCCAGACAAACACTTTAAGTGAGCACTCTCTACTCCTTTAACAAGTTGACATCATGGTCACTGAACATTGACTAAATTTGCATTTCAGCATGAAATCAGTACAATCTTAGTTGTACTGATTGGGAGACCAATCCCAGATTTTAAAATTTCTTAACTGTTATTGTTACAGTTGTAAATGGTTTCAAATGAGTATTTCTGGAACGTTTCTACTCTTTAGGGCTAGTTCACACCAGCCTCAGTGCGTTCCGGCCCTATTGTGGCCGGAACGCACTGGATCACATTCCGGCAGGCTCATTTTATTTTGGGGTGGGCCGCAATGTGATCAGCCGCACAGGAATCCGTGGCACATCAGTGCCTGCGTTCGGTCCAGAAAAAATAGTGCGTGCCTGTGCCGATCGCATTGCGGCCAGAGGGGGTGGCTGTGGCGCTGTTAAGTTATATGTGTTTTATTACGATATTCTATTTGTATAAAATAATGCTATGTTTATACCGATTACCATATATCTTTTACAGCTATCCTAATGCATTTATATATTATAGGTACAAGGACTCTCCATTCAAAACCAGGAGCTGGGTCTGAGTATCACTGAACCAAGCAGCTTTTTCTATTATTCTAAATTTGATGGTATTTTTGGGATGGCCTATCAGTCAATGTCAGCAGGAGGTGCCACAACCGGCATACAGGGTTTGATACAACAAAATCTTATTCCTCAGCCTGTGTTCAGCTTCTATCTCACTAGGTGAGAATCAGCAAGGATTAAACATAGACCAGGTTGCTGAGATATATCAAAGCCACCACCTAAAACCTGAAAGTCAATTTTAAGTGAAAGTTACTTCCAGGGCTCAAGAGACACTGCCAGCTTTTCCATGCAATACATAGTGTAAAAGGCTTGGATTGCCATGCTTGGCAGGCAATCAGATACTGACTGCTATAAAACTAGCATAATTAAATGAATACTATATGGTAATTCCAGTCTGGAATATCTTATTCGATAAGCTTGTAGGTTCGTACATTTTGATTCTGGAAGTCAATGTCTATCAAAGTTTTAGATTACCAGGGTTATATGAGACAAATCTTTTATCAAGTATAATGCTTGCTTTTTGTCACAACATTACCAGTGTCAACTGTAATTATATGATGCTCACATATTACAATGTTTAGTATTTTTCATTTACATGGTGTTAAACATATAACATTCTGCAGCAATGAAGTCAAAAATAAATTTTTAACTGATTTTTTAATTTGTGGATAAAATGAAATCGGCTAATTGTACAGTTGGCCAGGGCCATTACGGCCTGTATTGCCTCAGAAAGGTTGAGTGAAAAAGGGTCTGTTAAATGACAAAGTAGCCTTGGGAAACAACATTTAAAGCAGAACCTTGGGCAAAATGTTCATTAACCCTTGCAGTGGGGCTACCTCTATATACTGAGCTTTGGGTCACAGGAGGAGATTAGCATATGTCCTCCTGTGACCTTAAAGAGAACTATGGGAAAAAAACTTAGTACCATAGTTCTCTTCTAATAAAACATTTCCCCAAAGTTGTTCTTTAAGGCTGGAGAGAAGACTGATCTTTTTCATTATTTTCCCATGTTTTACTGCATAAGTCTTCAAGGAGAAAATATTAGAAAATATACACATCATTACATGCAGAATAGGCATTGTCCCTTTTAATATGCAATACGAAAAACATCTACCAAAGTAAATACATATTTTGTTTAATGTTATGAAGTAATATAAAGATGTTAAAAGGGAATTCCAGATATTAAATTTACACAAACAAGTTATGCCAACTATTTATTTTTGTACCACTACACTGTTTGTATGAAGACCACAATATGTATGCAGTGTTCCAAGATACAATGAGCAAAATATTAGCTTAATACTTTCTATGGTTGCTGCACAAAAGCAAATATTCCACTAAACATTTAAGTCATTTACTTTAGGTGCATTTTACAGCAAGTAGAATCTGTTTTACTTGATTTTAGATTCTTTCTTAAGTAAGAATCACCTCCCTTTGCTTCACATTTTAATAAATCAAGCTTAAACTTCTGTAACAACTGCCAACTCTTAAACAGATAAAAAAACACTGTCCCTGGAATTCATATTTATGTTGGTGCTTGTCCCAGACTCATGTACCTGCTAAAGGTACATCAATTTGGTGCAAGCACCACCATTTGTCATGTGGATGTACAGTGTAATTCTAAACAGTGTCATACAGTAGATACACTTCATGAATTCCAGGGATTGTGGTTTATATATACAGACACTCCTGGGGTTATGATGGGGATACGCTCCGGAAAATCCATCGTAAAGCAAAAATATTACAAACTGAGAAGTTTACTTGTGTGCTGCACTGCCGTGGTAGGCAGCAGACAGTACACAATGGGAATCAATAGCAATACTGCTATTGGCTCTTTCAAAGTGCAATAGCCAATAGCAGGCTGGCTATTGAATCCCCACCACTAACAGGAGTGGACCTGAGAAAGTTCTCGCTCAGGCCTGCTCCTCTGCTCCCTGGGCGGGTGCAATAGTTAGCCTGCTATTGGCTATTGAAATCTGAAATAGCCAATAGTAGTCTTGCTATTGATCCCAGCAGTTTACATTCACCTGCTGGCTGCGGAAGTGAGCCAGCAGGTGAAAAGGGAAGAGCCTCTGGACTGGCTGCTGGAGAGTTATTACTAACTCTCCAGCAACCAGAAACTACAGTTATCCGGCACCTACCGATCTGTGGGTGTCGATTAACTGGGAGTTTACTGTACGTTACTGTACAGTAAACTCCATCGTAAATGCGAAAAATTGTAACTTGATTGATTGCAAACCGAGGAGCATCTGTACAGCATCCTTAACAGCTTGTGACGCTGACAGTGGGCAGAGCCTGATGGGGATGCCACTCTGCTAGTGATTAACAGCAGGAAGTGGGTAAATTCCATAGCCAATAGCAAGCTGTCTTTTGGCTATGGAATCCGCCCACTGACTGCTGTTAATCACCAAGGTAATTTTTTGGTAATGTCAGCCAGCATCCCAAACCCCTTTGTTTACTAAGCTACTGGCTGGGGAATCAATTGGTGTTCTAGCAACCAATAAACCCTCAGTGGAAAGCTGGAAAGATTCATGACAGTTTAGCAGCACAGGCATGCAGTTCAGACCTGGTTACTGACCACATTGACCAAATTACTGACAGTTTTCTAATTAGTAAACTGGCGGTAATTCTTTTGAATCTGTCACAGCCATAGCGACAGGTTCTTAAAGTGGTATAGAACTTCCTGAATCTGTTCAAGTGTCGGTAACGCTGCCAAAATGAGGACATGGCTTTTTTTTTATTTGGAGCAGAACTTTTTAAAGATCTATACCCCCAGAATAGTGGTGCATCGCCTTTTATTAAATTACTCCCAATATACTTTATTGTAAAGCACAGCACAAAATATAATAGGTTATACAATTTGTTAATTATGTCAAAGTTTTAAAAGGGGGATGTCTTTTGATTTTCTAGTCAATCTGGAGAAGTAATATTTGGTGGCGTGGACAGCAGTTTATATTCAGGCCAGATCTATTGGACTCCAGTTACTGAGCAGATCTACTGGCAGATTGCCATTGATGAGTGAGTATCAGATATCTGAATTTTTGGTTACAGCATGGTAAAATTTTGACTGTTAAGGAACTAAATATATACGAAACAGTGCATTGTGATAGTATTTGTAAGTTATTGGGCTTATCCTCTAAGGCAAAAGATATTGTGAAAAGTGCAAGCCAAACTTTACACCTACCGTAGTTACATTTACTGACCTTTGAGAAACGTTAATGCTCTTTGCAATAACTATTGTAGAAAAGTAAATAATACAAAATAATAATAAATGAATAGGTCATTTAATTAAAAAAAAAATAAGTGATACTCTAGAACAGTGATGGCGAACCTTTTTGAGAGGGGGCTCTGCAGTTCTGATGTGGTCTGTACGGGCTCTCAGGGGGCTGTGTGGCTCTCAAGTGGGCTCTGTGGGGTTTCTGGTGGTCTGTACAGGCTCTCAGGGGAGCTGTGCAGCTCTCAGACGGTCTATTATGGCTTTTGGGTGGGCTCTGTGGTCCCACAGAGGGGGCCCCACGTGCCCACTCTGGCACGCGTGCCATAGGTTCGCCACCGCTGCTCTAGAACTATATATGTGTCTACCATTGGCTTTTTATCAATATTTTTGAACCCCTCAGATTCTCTGTAAATGGACAACCAAGCGGCTGGTGCAGTCAGGGCTGCCAGGGCATTGTAGATACAGGCACTCCTCTTCTCACCATCCCAAAGCAGTACCTTGTTAACCTGCTAGAGGAACTAGGTGCCCAGCAAGGACAAAATGGAGAGGTAATGATATTTATAAATGCTCCAAACATTCTGGAATTAAATATAAACATCTCTCCCACAAATAACCCCAACCAAGGTCCTTATCGCCCTTTTGCTCTTTTTTAGTATTATGTAAATTGCAACAATGTACAAAATCTACCATCTATCAGCTTCACCATCAGTGGAAGCCAGTTCTCCATTCCTCCTTCAGTATACATCTTACAGGTATTTATAAACATTAATTTCAAGGTAGGGATTGAAATGTTTTTACTAAGCATTTTTTGAATACAAGCATTATATCTATTACTGAACTTTCAGATCAATGGAAACTGTGTTGTTGGATTTGAGTCAACATACCTGCCTTCACGGAATGGTCAGCCACTTTGGATTCTAGGAGATGTGTTCCTTCGGCAATACTATTCTGTTTATGACTTTGGCAACAACCGAGTTGGCTTTGCAGCCATGGCTTGAACATCAATATAACTGAAAAACTACCTGGAACTGCATAACCAACTAATGAATCAAGGATCCCACAAGACAGAGAAATATAACACAATATAATACAAGTAATATTAACACAAAGTTAAATGAAGACAATTCCACAATTAACATTTTACATGAAATGGTAAAATTGTTTATTCTGCCAACCTGAAATGGTACAGAGAAACAGTAATAAATGCATATGAAGATAAAACAATCATAGTAGGTAATCATATTATTGCAATGAATGAAAACTATTAAATATTGTTTGCATAAAGATGGACAAATAACATAACACCAATACAATTTCAGATTTTTTTTTCCTGTTTATAAAGTCAGCGTTCTTCTACCAGCTATATTAGCATGCAATTGAATTTCAGCTTATGTTTGGCCGCACCTTATTCACCTAACTCACAGCATGTCTTAGCAAAGTAGGTCTGATGATGTATTTTGCAAAGGGGAACTTTCCTTGCTGTGATTCTCTATGTTCTGTGCTTTCATGCAACATAAGTACGGTGGAATAAAGAAACATAGTTTGTAATGTAAAGTTAAGTCAAATATCCCCTCATTGCAAGGAAAGCGGGGAAAATTATAGCTTGTATTCACCCCAAAAACGAAATGCAGGCTGGCAAAGGACATACTGAATATGAAAACACCACAACCTCCTCAAAGAACAATGAGCCACACTACTAGTGTAAAGAACATTTTTTTGTACACTAAACGAATTTAGTTAGTACAGCAATATGATAAATATCATTCAAAATTCATAGCTAATGAAGCTATTCTGCAGACACCCGTGATAACAAATCATTTCAGTATGGACTCTGGGATTTAACTAGTTCTTCTAACCATCACTGGTGTGCCACAGCCCCATACATTCCTATAGGTAAACATAGGTAAGGTGAAACCCAGTAATAATGGCTGAGGCAGGGGTGAACAGGACTAGGTACTACATACAGTATATGGTTATTATAAAATATGGGTATATTTATCTTTAACCCCTTCGTGACTGACGACGTACAGTGTACGTCGCCAGCATCGGGGCTGTTTAAACAGACTCCCGGCGACTTTTGCCGCCGGGAGTCTGTTTAAACTTGTAGAGCCGACTGTCGGCTTTAAAACAGAAGCGATCCTGGCGACTTACCTGTCGCCAGATCGCTTCTGCGTCCCGAAGAAGGGGCCGCCCCCCCAAAAAATGAAAAAAGGGCCTCAGTCATGAAGGGGTTAACAAGTTGTAAAAATTCTGCATGCAAGAACAAACCCTTTTAACAGTCCTTAGTATTTGCCCCCTAGGAAAACCCTTTATGGCTCAGTCCATGAAGGGCTGTTTTTGCCCTTCCTAGCTGCCCAGAAAGGTAAGAATGGCAAAGTGATGAAATTTATGAAAATTTTAATTCTTCTGGAATTAAACGGTTACAGAATTATTATTCCCTGCATTTATTTAACAGTAACATTCTACTCAGCGCTGTACACAACACATAGATCCATTCACATCAGTTACTTTTCCCCATGGGAGCTCCTAATCTAATGTTCCCCTTCAGGAAGAATTTTAGGGAAAAACCTACCAGCATGTTTTTGGATTATAAGAAAAAACTAAACAAAACACAGGGAGAAGTAAACTCATAACATAGGCTTTAAATATTAGCAGGTCTATTCACAAAAGGGTGAAGAGTTTGGAGACGGCAGGAGAAGTGGTCAATCTAGGACAACATAGCTGAACTGGAAAAATTCTCCAATTCAGCTCACTTTCCAGTTCATCTATGTTGTCCTAGATTGTTCACTTCTCCTGCCTTCTCCAAACTCTTCACTCTTTTGTGAATAACCCTGTGAGTATTAGGCCCCGTTCACACCAAGGAGGTTTGGTCATGGGGATTTTTCTGTGCTGAACCGACAACACTAAAAAACATATTTATTCCTATAGTGCCGGTTCACGCAAACGCACACAATCGCGCATTTCAATCTGCCTGCCGCCCAAACTGCTCCCTGAGCTACTTTTTCAGTGCTGATCAGCGTGGTTTCCATATAGGTTTCAATGGAAACGCGCTCATCAGCGCATTTTGGGGTGTGAAACCCAAAAACGCCCTTTCAAAAATCACACGAAAACCGCACTGAACCACTGCCCCCCTTGTGTGAATGGGGCCTTACAGTTATTCATAAAGATCAATGCATCAAAATAACTAAGCGTACCGGAAAACATAGATTTGTAGTGAATCAAACGAAAACAATGTGGACTGGACATTAACTCATAAATCAGATTTATGGCGATTGATAAATACAAACCCTTTTTTTTAGTTTTTTTCTTTGTTAACTAGGGAGATACTACTAACACCAGGACTGAAAATCCAAAATTTGTCACTAGAAATATAGAGGGAAGAATTTCTAATGGGCACATGTGTTTTGATGGCAACTGTCTAAAATGGGATTTATTATTTTTATTTAGCAAATTATTTTTAAAAGCTATGAAGAAAGCATCATACCTTCTGCTGACTGAATTTTCCTAAAAACACTACCGCAAACCTACCAATCAATAGCAATTTTTTTTTAAACTCCAGAACAGCAGGAAGAGGGTACTGCAGAATCAGCTAGGTTAAAAAGAAAATATATTATATTGTCACTGAACAGATATTTTAAGTTATTACGAGAGTGTTAAATCTTGAGTAATTTTAATGACATTCACAAGTTATTTGCTTAGCATTCCATATTTTTGTTATTGGATTAGAAACAGATATTTGAGATTTGCAATTATACCTTTTGGTGGCTTATTGCAATTACTTTCCCTCTGCTAAAAGTGTATTTCCACTTTTGCAGTCAAATTTAAGAAAACCCCTCTATATGTTTGTTATGTGTTCCCATTCACACAGCATACTGAATAAATAACTTTAAAAAACATTCTTACCTTTTAGATGTTTTGTTACAGCAGGCAAGATGGCTTATTTCAGGTTATTCTGAGCCCCTTTACAGTGATCTGTCCTAATGGAAAGGCTTAGGACTGAAATTTGAGAATTGTGTATATCTGATTAACTTCATTACCTACAATAGACAAACCACCTCAGACCCCTCACCCCTCACAGCCCTTGCAAACATTTTAACTACCTCCCGGCCAGCCGTTGTGTATACAGGGCCGGCCGGGAGCTTCTTGGATGTAACTGGGCGTGTATACACGTCCTGTTAGATCCGCCCACTCGTGCGCGCCGCGTACGAGCGGGAAAGACGAATAATTTAAAAACCGCCCCCCCTCCCGCTGTCACGCTGATCCCGGTCTCCGCTGTGCCCGGTGCGAGCCCGGGACCAGCATAGTGGCTCTCTGAGAGGTGATTAGAGGGAGGTCGGTTCACGATCTCCCTCCAGTCCACTCTCTGCTGTCAGAATGCGGAAGTGGTGTTTATTACAGCACTTCCGCATGCTCGTGTCACTCTCCAGCTTCAGATGCTGGAGAGAAGCTGATGAAGCAGATCTCTGCTTCATCAGCTTCTTCAGGGGGGTCCTAGGTGACATTAGGGGTCTTGGAGACCCCTGATGTCTCCATAAAGAGGACTTGTCACCTCTTTTGCTATCACATATAGGGGTTTCTTAGTCCCCTATGTGATAGCAATAAAGTTAAGTGGAAAAAAAAATAGGAAAAAGTTTCCCCCCAAAATTTTGCAAACGTCGCAGTGAGAGCAATGATTTTAGGGCTATCAATCACTGATAACACTAAACTGATGAGCTGTAAAAGCTTTTAAAGCGTCGCCTGTGGTCAATTTTGGGTATGCTAGTTTTTTGCGATTTCGCAAGTGCACGCAATTTTTAAGCTTGACATGTTTGGTGTCTATTTACCCGACGTGACCCCGTCTTTTATATTTTACCAAAAAAGTTGGTAATATTAGTTGTTTTATAACATAATGTAAAAAAAATTTCAGTAATTTCTCCTGCATATAGTAAAAAAAAAGTGGTGATTAAATACCACCAAAAGAAAGCTCTATCTGTCCCCCAAAAAATGGTATAAAATTAATTTAAGTACAGCGTTGCATGACGGAATAAATGTCAGTCAAAGTACTGCAGCGCTGAATACTGAAAAATGGTCTGGCCAGGAAGGGGGTCTAAACACCTGGTCTTCAAACGGTTAAAGAGAGAGAAATAAGAAAAACTCTAACCCAAGTAAAAGCTATTTAAACTGCAAACTTTTTAGCCTGTGGCATGTGAATAGGACAAACAAATAATAGGATAATAGGATTAATAAATAAAAAAATAGGTGTTATCCCACATTGACTGTAAAAGTGGAAATAAACTTTAACATCTGTTGAGATAAAATATCAGCCACATATGCATGGGGAATGCACATACAAATATAATTACAAGCTATAGACCGTAACAAGGCTTTTAAAACATTAACACATATGATAAAATTATATACATAAAACTGATCTCTTTAGATGTACTGTATAACTATAAAAAGATTGCAAAGATTGTGTATTCTCTTTATGAAATAATAAAAAAGTCAGATCTCAGCTCATTGTTGACAGCAATCACTCACTACCAGGGAAATACAACCCCCCATGTTGTTGTGGCATTTCTCCTGTCAGCCACAGATACAGTAAAACACAGTGGAAGATGTTGTTAGACTGCGCAGTCAATAAAAGTGTAATTAAAGGTTAAAAAAATGCCTATCGCCAGGATTTCTGTGGCAGACGAGACTTACACAGCTTACAAAAGCTTCTAGCAGCCATTTTTTCATCCTGTACACTGAGCATGTGCATGTATAGGAGTTACATCAACAAGACTTTGGCTATCAAGCAGCCAAAGACTCAAAACTCAGAAAAAGACTGGTAGAAGATGGAAGCACCAGGGAGGGAGGAGCACAGTGCTGGAGGGCATCAGTTTGATAGGTAAATCTGCCATATGTAGTGTTTTTTTCCAGTTAACAGAAAAACTTTTAAACCAGAGTAAATGGCTAAATTAAAAATAAAATAAAATATGAGGGCAGGAAAGCGGGGTCAAGATATTAGAAGACA